CAGGCCGCCGGCTCCCGCCAGCCCTCCCGCCCAGCCAAATAAGGACTGGGGAGACGCGCCGAGGGAGGGAGGAGAGAAGGGGCTCGCGGAGGGGGAGGGAGCGAGAGTGAGCTGGAGAACCACGGCGAGACCCGGCAGGACAGAGAAAGAGAGAGAGAGAGAGAGAGAACGAACTAGACAGAGAAATGCATGCAACTACAGAGGGAAAGAGAACGAGACCACGAAAGACTGAGGGGAAAGGAGACAAGAGGGACAGGGAAGGGGACACAGGGAAGATAAACCAGAGGTAGACTAATAGACCCAGAAAAAGAACAGGCAGGCAGAAATACAGAGGGAGAGAGGCAGAGAGCGAAAGATGGAAACAGAAAGAACCACGTACTAAGACAGGGAGACCTGGTTTGCTAGAGATAAACTGATGACAGCAAAAGACAGAAAGCAAATAAATGAAAAGGCGCAGACAGAGCCAGTCCCCATTCCCATCCCTCAATGAATTCACAGTGTGTTCTAATTGTGGACCTTGGCTGTCCTGCTCCTTATTATACAGATGAGGACACTGAGGCACAGAGAAGTCAACTGACCTGCAAGGGCACACAGTGAGTTAGTGACAGCACTGGGGCTCAGCCAAGCTTACCTGCCTTCTAGACAAGCACTCCCTCCCCTGTGCCAGGCTGCTGTCTGTCTTAGAAGCAGGCAGAACACAGCTGTGGAGCTGGGCACACATGAGCCAGCACCCAAGGGAAAGCTCTGCTCTCGGGCATTATGTCTTTCCTCAGGTTACCACAGTTTCTGGAACTTGCTGAGAGTGCACGGGCTAATAGACTAGGCTGGTAGCACATAGTCCCAGGGACTCATGTCCTGCTCCCCAGGACACTTTCAGTCTGTCCCAACATCCATGGCCTCTGTTCTGCACCAGAGGCTGCCAGAGATAGTGCCAGAAGCTAACCTCAGTGCTCTCAGCAGAACTGAGATCTAGTGGAAATAGAGCAGGGGAAGGGGCCCAGATTAGGAAGGTCACTGACAGAGTGGAGAAGCTAGAGTCCTCCCTATGCTTCACTTTCTTCATTTTCCAACATGGTGGCAGTGGTGGTGAAGAGGGGTGGAACCTCAGGGAAGGTGTCACACCCCCCAAGAGCTTCTTTTCCTTATCTCCTTGATGAGGGATTATTGCAGATGATCCCACAGGCCTTGCTCAGTTTCAAACAACTCCAGACTTGGATGGGCTGAGTGAGCAGAATGATTGGAATGCAAATCCCAGTGCCAAGGAGTGTCAAAAAGTCCTTTATGGGACCCTGGCGTGGGCTATGCAGAGACATGAGAAAGGCCCCAAGGCCCCTAAGAGTAGGTTCAGGAGGCAGCCGGCAAGAAGTGGAAGCACTCTCAGCCCATATGCTGGGCTGACCTGTCACTACTGGATGTTATACTACTTCTCCAACAGCACTAAAAAAGCATCATCAATGAATTCCTTCAGTCATTCTTTCAACAAGTATTTATCAAGCACCTGTGGTGTTAAGCTACATTCATTACCTCTAGTCCTTACCATGATCCTGAAAGGGAGGAATGGTTGTTCCCACTTTACAGACAGGGAAATTGAGTGAAGAATTATCCAGGGTCACTCAGCTGGGACAAGGCTTCAGATCTGTATATGCCCAACCCTACCTCTGAAACAATGAGTCCTTGAGCCTCAATCTTTCTCATCTATATATGGGGTTAGTAATTACGTTACTCTACTCTGGTAGCATAGTGGCTAAGGTACTTGACTGCTAACCAGAAGGCTGGAGGTTCAAACCCACCAGCCACTCCTCAGAAGGAAGATGGGGCAATCTACTTCCGTAGTGAAACTGCCTCAGAAACCCAAGGAGGGGTCACTATGAGTAGGTTCGACTCGATGGCACATAACAACAACAAACAACACTCATCTCTTGAGCAGGTTGTTGTAAGGGATCAAAGGAGACCCTATGTGTGCAAATCAGACAATATGAGGCTCTATAAAAATTTCTGCTCCCTAGGGCTCAGGTGTCTGTACCAGAGCCTGATGGGAGGGCCTTGAACTCATGTCTCCCCTTTCCTCTTCTCAAGATCTTTGATTCTTTGCAGAGGCAAATTTTCTAGCCTAGTCCTCTGGCCTTTCTGTTTCAGGCTTTCCCCTAGCATCTTCTGGCTCTCTGGAAGAAAGATATTGCTTTCCTGGTTTCCCAGGGATGAGTGTAGAGCTGGATTCTGCACTTCTGCCCTATTGGCTCATGACCACAACTACCCCAGAAGCCAATTCCCCCAAAGTCTAGATGAGCAAGTGGCTTGCTAGACCTGGTTTCAGTGTGAAAATCCTATGTATGCAGGGTCTGCTTGTTTCTGGCTGCCAGGCCAGACTGCTGTGCAGATGAAAGGTGATATTATGCACGAAAGAGCTTTGGAAAAGGGAAAAAGCTCTCTTTAGGGGCAGAACATTTATTATTAATTATGATGAAACTTGTTCTCACAGCACTTCAGAACCGGAAGGACCTTTAGAGAGAGTCTAATCCAATCCTCTCATGTTACAGACAGGGAAACTGAGGCCCAGAGAAGAGGAAGGGGGTTGCCCAAGGTCAGATTGTGAGTGAGGGTCAGCTATGATTTATGCCCCATGGTGAAGGCTTTCCTGGCAGTATCCATTGTGTACATTAGAACACCCTTGAATGGATAGAGGTCACATGGCCAAAGAACACTTGGAGCCCAGAAAGAGGGTAATTTGGTTCTCCTTCCTGTTCCTCCTCCCTCTTTTCTCTTGCAGAGGGGGTGTTAGGTGGGTGGGGAACCATGTTGGTCCCAGTCAAGTTTTCTGAGCAGCTCTTAGACTTGCAGGCAGGAGTCTTATCCTCCCATTCTCAGCCTGGGTAGAACAGCCTGGATAGTAGCCTATCCCACTCCTTTCCTTCTAGGATCCCTTCATAGGGCTCAAATGTTAGAAAGCAGCTCTGTCAGTTTTGTCTAAAACAAATGATGAAAAATTGCTCAGCTGTGGCTTCTCTCATGAACTTCTGTATTTTTTCAGTCCACTGGTGACTCCAGTGGAGGGATAGTTAGAGGGTAATCAAGAGATTTTTATATCCCTCAGATCATGATGCCAGCGTCTATGTGAGGGCTTTCTGAGATTCTATTCAGTATGGAGAGGATAGGATGGGAAGTTGGGAGACCTGGCTGGAATCCTGTTTCTGCCACTTGCTGGCTGTGAGACTCTGGGCCACTCACTCCAGTCTCTGAGCCTTGGTTTCCACACCCATAAATGGAGGGGCTTGAATCAGAGAGTGCCCAAGCTTCCTTCCTTTATGACATCATGTGGCTTTCTTGGCCTTACATATGCCTCTGTTTCCCCAGTTTTCCAAAGAATCAAGTGAAAAGAGGGTATCACTACTGCTTTTAAGATTAATTTGTGAAGAAAGGGACACATTCAGAGTTAGAATAAATGAAATAGAATTGAATTATCATTAACCTCACCATCAAACCAATTCTGACCCATAGTGACCCTATAGGACAGGGTAGAACTGACCCATATGGTTTTCATACCTGTATTCTTTGTGGAAGTAGACTGCCACATCTTTCTCCTGCAGAGCAACTGGTAGGTCTGAACTGCCAGCATTCCTTTTCGTTAGCAACTGAATGTTTAACCATTGTATCACCAGGACTTCCCTAATTATCATTAGTTGCTGCATATTACTATGCACTTAATAGTATACATATATTAGTTTTCAGCTTTATCTTCTACTCTAGTCCTCTTAGACATATCCAAATACTGTGGTACCTTCCTCCTGGTTCATGTGGCTCCCTTAAGCTAGGCTACTGCTACCTCCTTGCCTCTCCTATCTTTCTATCTGTCAAACCCCCATGCAGGCTTCAAGACCCAGCTCAAAGGCCGCTCCCTCCTCGAAGCATTTCCCAGTTGCCCCTAATCAACAAGTTGCCTCCTTTGTGCTTCCAAAGCACCCTTTCTAAGTTTCATTTCAGTGTATATTTCTTTTTGCCTAGGTTCTTTAATATCTGTCTTTCCCATTGGCTCAGTATCATCCCCGGAGTGGGGACCCTTCTTACTTGTGCCACATCTGCAGTGGTAAGCACAGTACTTTAAACATCAGAGTTGCTTAACAAATTTTCCCAGTTTATGTACTCAACACACAAGTGAAGACTTGGAAACATTCTATACCTGCTGAGTTAGAGACCAGCAGTGTCAGCAGGAGATGGGCATAGACAGCAGAGTCTGCAGGAAGACAGAGAAAGGCCCTGGCAAGCTGCAGCCTGTGTCAGATCTTGATCTACTTCTGTGACTCTGTGGCAGATACTTCTAAAGCTGGGGCAAGCCATGCCGGCTTAGGGGAAGAGGAAGAAGACAGATATGTGCTGTTTCAAGGCCCAAGGAAGCGCAGTAGAGAGAGCATTGCATTGGGAGTCCAGAGATCTGGAGCTTGGTTTCAGGGCTGCCACAAATTCCTTAGGTGTGCTTGAGGGAGTCAGATGATGTCTCTGTGCCTCAGTTTCCATTGCTACAAGATGAAAGGGTACACTTTCTTAAGAGATCCCTTCCTGCTCTGACATTCTGTGATGTTAATGAGAAGACTGACCTTCGACTCACAGTATCAGTCCTCCAAGGATAAAGGATGTGGTCTGAAAGATGAGGGGCCCAGAGATGTCCATCTTTCCAGCTCCCTTTATTGGCCAGATTGACTGGAAAATGGCGGAGGGGTTGAAGTAAAGAATGAAAGAGCTGATACTGAGTCAAATC